TCGGAAAATGTATTTTGCAGCAAGTATAGAGACCTCCATACGTTCTGCCTTGTCCAGTAGCCGAAATAAGAGAAAGCCCCTTCAATGGGAAAAAGGGCCGGCCTTTATACTGTCCGTGCTCTTGATCCAAGGAATTAAAGCTGCCCTCTCCTTCCTCGGATCAAACCTAAATACCTCCCTTTTTCTAAACAATTTGACCGTTACTGATGCATAGAATAATAAGCGAGAGATATAAGAAATTGGAGAGAGAAAACAAAAACTAAAATCTTGACTCACCTTCAGTAGCCTACAGGTAGGTGAAGACGAGTTTACCAGCAGTGTATGTTAATATATACGAGTGTACTTAGTGGTCAATACCTGGTCTTCAACACCCTTCATCACTTGCCTCTATGCTCATCACTGAGCACTGTAAATCAGACTTAACACGTCTCACTACATCAACTTGGGTCAACATAAGGCAGGTCTTTTTTTAGTCGAAAATTAGTATTAGGAATAACTAGTTGTCAGTCATTTTTGTGACCAAAAATGTGACAGTGTTTGCAATGAATCACCAAATATCCTTCAGAGTACTTAAAAGACCCTTAAAATAAATGGCCAATTGGTCAAATATTCCAAAGAAACTCATCAGGTAAAGTGTTGCAACAGACGAGTACGTACAGGCAGTTGTGATGGGTTACAGAATTTGCGTTCAGTCTAACAAATTGCTTTAAATCATTCACTACAGTTTTATGCAATAGTTCGGGTGCATAATTTTATAACCTCTGCACTCGGAACTAGTAAAATAAATGTCAAACAGTGCCTACACATGAGTAAAAAGTGTCGGCAAAAGCACGCTTATTCTATTAAACGACACTAACTCATGCCCAACCACGGCGAGATTACAGGTGTTTAGGGCACTTTCCCTCGAGGACGACCCCAGACTGCTCGTTCTCCAACACTTCTCATACTCAGGAGTCCACGAGGTGAGGCTGGTGAGTGGAGAGAAGTGTGTGTGTGGTGTAGAGAGGGTCACATGAGAGAGTGAGAGAGTGTGAGAACCTCCCCAGAGCACCACTGAGACACTATCAACAAACATGCCAGCTGGTTAAGCAACACCTCGCTAGGGGTCTCTACCAGTGATCAGCTGGCCCACCACTCTGCCCACCTTCTCTTTAATATATCATTTTCTCTGTTAAACCTGCATCTGTCTCTAAACCTTCCCTGAAATATATTTAACCATACGCTATAATTGTTGCGCTCATTTATTCCTAAAGGCTAAAGGATATTTATGAGAATAATCGAGTAGTGAAAAGAGAAAGTGGCCTCCACTCACACGCACACGCGTGATTTAAAAGGCTTTTGTGAAAGTGGAAATCATGAATGAATACGGCTTATATGAGGATTTTATGTTTGGCCTCAAAGGAAACCAGGAATTTGTGGCCACATCTTCCCCAGCGGAGATTGTAAGGTTGTCTCACAAGTTAAATAGCAAATATATATACCCGGGTATAATATAAAAACATACCAACTGAAAGAAACTATGATTCTTCTTCACACAATTATATAAGCGCATTATTTAAGGAAAGGCATTTTTTAATATATATATAGAAGTTTCCATACTTAATTATGGAAGCTGCATAAACAGTTGTGATGCTGTGCTGGGAGTCGAAATTTTAGTATTGATCTGGCTACGGTATATATTTATTTCAGTCAGAAGTAAGCTCTAAACCCGTAGAGGTCATATAGCATCTGGGGAAGGAAAGGAATTATTTATCTGCCTGGCTGGGTATGTAACTAATTATGTAAATCTAATTATGCATGTGCCTCGTACTACCTCAATATTGTAAATCTACTTATGTAAGTGTCTAGCAAGGTATGTATCTAATTATGTACTATTTATCTAATAATGTATGTTCAAATGTACTGCTCCATGACCTATATCAATATAGAGTAAGAATTAATATTAGTCTGCCCGAAATGCTTAGGCATGCTAGTGGCCTTCTTTGTAATTAACATTTCACAACATGTAAATAACAAAAAGGCACAATACCGTGACTGGAGCGATACACAAATAACCCGCACATAAAAGAGAGAAGCTTACGACGACGTTTCGGCCCGACTTGGACCATTGTCAATGGTCCAAGTCGGACCGAAACGTCGTCGTAAGCTTCACTCTTTTATGTGCGGGTTACTTGTGTATCACAACATGTAAACCAAACATTGAACATGTAAGCTCTACAAGGAAATAAAAATATATTTTATTTTTTATTTTTAAAGGAAGGGGAATATGAGTGCAGTTCTTGGAATCAAGAGCCCCTCACCAGTACGGACACGTTTTCCTAGAGTGGTGGCGGCAGTACGAAAAAAATAAATGACCATTGGGTTATCCTGGGTTAAATCTACATAATGTAGTACAGTATATATCTATGTGCCCATAACATCTGTATGCCCTCCAAGTCATAGTAAAAAACAAAATACATAAGTATGAAATGCCTGAATATCAACTTACTGACCACTGAATTGTCTATGGTTTTAGCGTAATTAATCACACTTGAACACCATCTTCATGTTGAGCATGAAGATGGTTTTCAGTGTGATTAATTACGCTAAAAGCAAAGGTGTTCCAGTGGTCGTGGTGGAAATAAATCAGACTGACATTGCTAAGTTATCTTCAGCTAAACCTTCAGAGTTTATTATTGCTGAATCCATATCTTACCTTATCTTAACTTTATTTTTCAGTGTTACCTGAAAGATATCCCATTCGAGGGGGATATTATAACACTGGTGAAGGGCTCCTGATCCAAGGAGGTAGAGCTAACTTTCGTTTCCTTGGATTAAATTTAATTGCTTCCGATTCCCCAGGTGATGTATGACCCTTACGGGCTTTTTCATATATATATATATATATATATATATATATTATATATATATATATATATATATATATATATAAATATATATATATATATATATATATTCATAGCTCCTGGCCCCACCTCTTCACTCGTCGCTACTAGGTCACTCTTCCTGCTCCATGAGCTTTATCCTCTTCTTAAAGCTATGTATGGATTCTGCCTCCACTACATCACTTCCCACACTATTCAACTTCCTGACAACTCTGTGACTGAAGAAATACTTTTTAACATCCCTGTGATTCATCTGAGTCTTCAACTTCCAATTGTGAACCCTTGTTGTTGTGTCCCATCTCTGGAACATCCTGTCTCTGTCCACCTTGTCAATTACTCTCAGTATTTTATATGTCGTTATCATATCTCTCCTTTCCTCCAGTGTCGTCAGGCCGATTTCCCTTAACCTCTCCTGATAGGACATGCCCCTTAGCTCTGGGACTAGTCTTGTTGCAAACCTTTGCACTTTCTCTAATTTCCTTACGTGCTTGGCTGAGTGTGGGCTCCAAACTGGTGCTGCATACTCGAATATAGGCCTGACATACACGGCGTACAGGGTCCTGAACGATTCCTTATTGAGATGTCGGAATGCAATTCTTAGGTTTGCTGGGCGCCCATGTGCTGCAGCAGTTATTTGGTTGATGTGCGCCTCAAGAGCCTTTTCCTTGAGTGAGGTTTGTAGTGCCTGGCTCCCTAGACTGTACTCCGTCTGCGGTCTTCTTTGCTCTTTCCCAATCTTCATGACTGCACTTGGTGGGGTTGAACTCTAGGAACCAGTTTCTGGACCAGGCCTGCAGCCTGTCCAAATCCCTTTCTAGTTCTTCCTGGTCCTCGTCCAATTGAATTCTCATCAAATTCACACCATTTGCAAACAGAGACACTTATGAGTCTGTTCCTTCCGTCATGTCGTTCACATATACCAGAAACAGCACCCCTGTGGAACCCCGCTCGTCACAGGCACCCACTCTGAAACCTCGTCACGTACCATGACTCGCTGATGTCTTCCCGATAGGTATTCCCTGATCCATTGCAGTGCCTTCCCTGTTATACCTGCCTGGTCGTCCAGCTTATGCAATTGTGTTGAACTGTGTTAAAAGTTTTCTTTCACTCCAAGAAAACTCAATCTACCCATTCCTCTCTCTCTTGTTTTACTGCTGTCACCCTGTCATAGAACTCCAGTAGGTTTGTGACACAGAATTTCCCGTCCCTGAAACCGTGCTGGTTGTCGTTGATAATCTTCTCCATGACTTTGCATACTATACATGTCAATGATACTAGTCTGTAGTTTAATGCTTCGTGTCTGTCTCCTTTTTTAAAGACTGGGACTACATTTGCTGTCTTCCATACCTCAGGTACTCGCCCTGTTTCGATAGATGTGTTGAAGACTGTTGTTAGTGGTACACATAGCGCCTCTGCTCCCTCTCTCAGGGCCCATGGAGAGATGTTATCCGGCCCCATCGCCTTTGTGGTATCTAGCTCGCTTAGCAGCCTCTTCACTTCTTCGGTTGTATGTATTGTGTCCAACACTTGATGGTGTGTGTGTGTGTGTGTGTGTGTGTGTGTGTGTGTGTACAAATTAACCACAGTGAAAAGAAATAGTGAAATTCCAAGCACTTTCATGATCTCTCACGAAAGTGCTTGGAATTTCAATAGCTTTTCACTGTTGTTATTTTGCATATTGTGATATATACATATGTGTATGTGTACTCACCAAACTGTGGTTGCACGGGTTGATTCATAGCGCCTGGCCACACAAATAACAACACGTGTGTGTGTGTGTGTGTGTGTGTGTAAACTTAAGACATACTAAGGTATTGTGACTGCCACAGATGTATTGTTGTGTTAGTTATGTCTGATGCGAGTTACTTAAAAGATTTTTTATGGATTCCTTAGAAATATATTTATTGTGTTTTAGCAACATAAATTTTAAAAGTTAAATAATTATAAGACTCGCCTCAAATCCACATACACCGAGTGATTCTCTTCATTACCTTGGATCCAACCTCATTACTTTCCATTTCCAAGGCGCTGTATAAATCACATTGTATAAACACTAAGATTTTACTTTAATCCTTAATTTAAGAGATAAAGTATGGATGATACTGATGTATAGATGGACTGTGGCCTTAATGTCCTTCGTACACTTAGGCTGCATTTAACCCAACAAACTTATCATTATAGTCATGGTATACAATACCGACAAGTTGATGAATATGACACATGTGCAACATTTGGGTATCTTTATTGTTGCAACGTTCCGCCTGAAAAGCACCCTTCTTCATTAGAATGCAAAGGTGACTGATATACTGCAGACACTTCTTCAGCTGTTTCCGCTACATTAGCCACCTTTGTATTACACTGAAGAACGCTGCCGCGCTGGTGAAACGTTTTGGAAATAAAAAAATAACAAATGTTGCACATATGAATAAAATATTGCACCTGGATACTAGCTAGCCATATACACTCTCCTAGCAACAATGGCGTAGTGAAGGTTAAAACATTCTTGCGCCTTTGTTGAAAGAAAGAATTTTAACATTTACAGAGCGCTGTGACCAAAAGGTCAATCAGTGCTCTATGCAATAAAACATTCCACAAGCACTAGCGCACACACACACACACACACACACACACACACACACACACACACACACACACACACACACACACACACACACACATGACGGAAGGAATAGAATCCGAAGTGTCCCTGTTTGCAGATGATGTGAAGTTGATGAAAAGAATTAAATCGGACGAGGATCAGGCAGAACTACAGAGGGATCTGGACAGACTGCAGGCCTGGTCCAGAAACCGACTCCTGGAGTTCAGCCCACCAAGTGCAAAGTCATGAAGGTTGGGGAAGGGCAAAGAAGACCGCAGACGGAGTATAGTCTTGGAGGCCAGTATACAAACCTCACTCAAGGAAAAGGATCTTGGTGTGTATATAACACCAGGCACATCTCCTGAGGCACACATCAACCAAATAACTGCTGCAGCATACGGGCGCCTGGCAAACCTAAGAACAGCATTCCGACATCTAAATAAGGACTCGTTCAGAACCCTGTACATTATGTACGTTAGTCGCATATTGAAATATGCAGAGCCAGTTTGGAAACCTCACCTAACCAAGCATGTAAGGAAACTAGAGAAAGTGCAAAGGTTTGCAACAAGACTAGTCCCGGAGCTAAGGGGTATGTCCTACGAGGAGAGGTTAAGGGAAAGCGACCTGACGACACTGGAAGACAAGAGAGATAGGGGGGATATGATAAAGACATATAAAATACTGAGAGGTATGGACAAGGTGGACAGAGACAGGATGTTCCAGAGATGGGACACAGCAACAAGGGATCACAGTTGGAAGTTGAAGACTCAGATGAACCACAAGGATGTAAGGAAGTATTTCTTCAGTCTCAGAGTTGTCAGGAAGTGGAATAGCCTGGGTAGTGATGTAGTGGAGGCAGGATCCATACATAGCTTTAAGAAGAGGTATGCTAAAGCTCACGGAGCGGGAAGAGTGACTGAGTAGCGGCCAGTTGAAGAGGCGGGACCAGAAGCTGTGA